TCCCTTTGTTGTTAAATATTAATTGTGCTGAATATCTTGTCATCAATAAATCTTTTGAAAAGACTGAAGCAAAATAGGCATTAAACATCTCAGCCTTATTGATTATCCTTCCCCACTAAAGGCATGTCTCCACTGGGGAGTTATTTTCAAATAACTCCCCTTATTTCAAAATAACAAGGTGAGTGTCCACACTACCAAGTCTGTTATTTTGCAATAATAGCTCCTGCTTGTGAAGAGGAATAAGCTTATTTCAAAATAATTATTTTGGGGGTTATTATTTTGAAATAACTTGGTAGTGTAGACATAGCCCATACAGACATTCTAAATTTTCCTGTGTTTCTCTCTTGCTCTTAATGTATGTAAAGCATCTCTTCTTATTGCTTTTTATGTTCCTTACCAGGTATTACTCACTTTGTGCCTTAGTCTTTCTGATTTTGTCTCTACATGCTTGTGCTATTCATTTGTTATTTTTCTTAAGCAATTCATTTATGATTCCACTTTTTGTAGGATTTCTTTTGTATTTTCATGTCATTAAAGAGCTTCTGACGAAACCATATTGTATTTTTCCTTTGCATAGGAGAGTCTGCACTTGTACATTTAATATTATCTCTTCTAGAAACCGCCAGCTGTCCTGAATTCCTTTATCCCTTAGATTTTCTTTCCATGAGACAGTTCTCTAGCTAGATTGTCAAGCTCAACAGGTAGTAATGAATGGCTCAATGTCTAGTTGGCAGTCAGTATCAAGCGGAGTGCCCCAAGGGTCAGTTCTGAGCTAATTTTGTTCAACATCTTTACTAACGATCTGGATGAGGGGCTGGATTGCACCCTTAGCAAGTTCACAGATGACACTAAGCTGGGGGAGAGGTAGACACGCTGGAGGGTGGGGATACTGTCCAGAGTATCATAAATAAATTGGAGGATCGGGGCAAAAGAAATCTGATGAGATTCAACAAAGACAAGTGCAGAGTCCTTGGGACAGAAGAATCCCAATCACTGCTACAGGCTGGGGACTGACTGGTTAGGCAGCAAACCAGCAGAAAACAACCTGGGGATTACAGTGGATGAGAAGCTGGATATGAGACAACAGTGTACCCTTGCAGCCAAGAAGGCTAACGGCATATTAGGTGCATTAGTAGGAGCACTGCCAACAGATCTAGGGAGGTGATTATTCCCCTTTATTTGGCACTGATGAGGACACATCTGGAGTATTGCGTCCAATTCTGGGTCCCCTATTACAGAAAGGATGTGGATGCATTGGAGAAAGCACAGCAGATGGCAACAAAAAGGATTAGGAGGTTGGAGCACATGACTTATGAGGAGAGGCTGAGGGATTTGGGCTTATTTAGTCTTCAGAAAAGAAGAGTGAGGGGGGATTTGATAGCAGCCTTCAATTGAAAGGGGATTCCAAAGAGGATGGAGAGAAGCTGTTCTCAGTGGTGAGAGAGGACAAAATGAAGCGCAATGGTCTCAAGTTACAATGGCGGAGGTCTAGGTTGGATATTAGGAAAAGCTATTTTACTAGGAGAGTAGTGAAGCACTGGAATGGGTTACCTAGAGAGGTGGTGGAATCTCCATCCCTGGAGGTTTATAAAATCATAGGGCAGAGGTGTCAAAACTTTTTTCAAAGAGGGCCAGATCTGAAGAAGTGAACATGCGTGAGGGCCGTCCCCGCACTCTCAGCCCCAAGGCGGAGGGCCCGCAGGGTCGGAGGCGGGCGGAGAGCGCAGGGCACGCCAGCCTCACGGCAGCCCGGGGGCAGGGCAAACCCGCAGCCAAGCGGGGCTGCGGACATGCCCTACAGGGCAGGCTCTAGGACCACGGAGGCCATGGGCAGCGGCGGCGTGGCCGGAAGCGGCGCACTGGGCATGCCAGTTCAAAAGAGCGCCGGGGAGCCAGGAGAGGGGGAGGAAGTGGGGGCCGTATTAAATCGGAACACGGGTTTGGACATGCCTGTCATAGGGTCAGAAGAGATCTCAGGAGATCACCGAGTCCAACCTCCTGCACCAAGCAGGAACAACCCTCACTTAATCATCCCAACCAGGGCTTTTTCAAGCTTGGACTTAAAAACTTCTAGGGATGGAGATTCTACCACCTCCCTAGGTAACCCATTCCAGTGCTTCTCGCTCTGTCCTCTCTCACCACTGAGAACAGCTTCTCTCCATCCTCTTTGGAATCCCCTTTCAGTTAAAGGCTGTTATCAACCTCCCCTCCTCCCCCCACTCTTCTTTTCTGTAGACTAAATAAGCCCAAATTCCTCAGCCTCTCCTCAGAAGTCATGTGCTCCAAACTCCTAATCCTTCTAGTTCTGCCATCTGTCACTACTGAGAACAGTCTCTCTCCATCCTCTTTGGGACCTCCAAAGTCGCAGCTTGACAAAGCCCTGGCTGGAATGATTTAGTTGGTTTTGATCATGCTTTTAGCAAGGGGTTGGACTCAATGACCTCCAGAGGACTCTGTCAGCCTTATGTTCTCTGAATCTATGTTTGGCTTTACATTCTTTGAAAGATAAAGATAGGATAGGGAACTTGCCTTTAATAGTCGTTAATATTGTAGATAGATTTTTGTTTGGGTGTCTTTTCTTTACTCTTTAGGGATGAAATCTCATAGGAAGAAGTGGTATAATTTCCATTATTATATCATTATTTACATTATAGTTAGTATTTGGGTTCACTTGCTGACTATTTACGTTTTTGTTTTTCTTTTTCTTTTTCTTTAGTACCCAGGATATTCCATTCCCATTTCCTGCTTTCAGAGTGTTTTGCCGTCTCTCCCTGGTTCTTACCTGTCGTCCAGAGTTCAAAAGATTGTTTATAATTCTATAGGTTAGGTTTTTAAGGTTTGGGCTTCAGTGTTTTTGGCTGCTTTACTGAAGCATTGGCCTGTCTGGAATTTTATAACTTGAGGTGGAGGTATTTTGGCCTTTTTTTAAAATGTAGGGGATTTTATTAGAAATGGGCTTATATTGTATCTGAGGATTCTGTGCAACTCTGAACTTGAGGGTTTTAAGGTTTAAGTCCTCATTTTGTGATCTTATATCCATGTCTAATAATACCATGAATTGGAATTTCTGTAGTGTTTTGCATTTTCAAAACACTGTACACATTGACTAACGATATATTTCATAATCATAGACATTTTTACTGGGGCTGTGGGAAAATTTCCACTACAAGAGATTGGGAAATGTGTGGTTAAGATCTTGGTATTGAACAAGGATTTTTTTAAATAGAATATTTACAAAGAAATTTTTTATTCCTTTGAGCAGCTAAAGTTCACAAGAAAACTGCTGTAAGATTATTACATTCTCCATATAATTCATTTTAATACAATAACTAAGTAGAGAGGTGTTGTGCTGATGCAAAATAGCAATGGGTGATATTAATATGCTGGCCTAATGGGCCGAAGTGTCCATCTGAGGAAACCTAAGTCAGGGAGAGTGAGTACAGTCATTAACTTTTGAGTGCACATGTTATTTTATATGCTTTTCATCTTATATAATTGTTATTAATTTATGATCCAGCTGTTTCAAAATCAATACTTTCAGATTCAATATTCACACTTCTAACAGCCACAAACTCTCTCTACACTCAACAGCTAAATTTTATTGCCCTTTAGTACTCATTGAAATGTTCCATGAAAGCTCACTTGAAGAAGTGAGCTTCAGGGGATAGCCGACTTAGTCTGTTACAGAAAAAAACAAACAAATGGTCTGGTCTGCCCACATATCTACACTGACAAATTCATCACTGGAATAAACACGTAAGCCACAAAATCAAAGGGTCATTTGACTGCACATCTAGTAATTTGATCTATGCCATCAAATGCCAGCAGTGCCCCACTGCTATATATATTGGACAAACTGGACAGTCTCTGCAGGAAAGAATCAATGGACACAAATCGGATATACGTAAAGGGAACACACAAAAATCTGTTGGTGAACATTTCTGCTTACCGAACCATATTTTAACAGACCTACAGGTGGCAGTCTTGTCACAGGCCAGCTCCACAAGCCAAATACATAGGGAAGGATTGGAATCACACTTCATCCACAAATTCAATTCACATGCTAATGGACTCAATCTAGATATTGGCTGGCTACCTACTTCATAACCACTGAAGGTGCTAACAGCTCTGTGAGTGGTATTCTTCCTGTCTTAGCATCTATTTACTTTGATCTGCTTAGGTTTAAGTACCCATTCTCCAGATACTTAATGAAGCCCTGTCTCACAGACCCCTTCCTTTTTTTTTCTTTTTCTCCCCCCTCTCCTATTTATTTCGAGTTTTCATAACCCCTACTCTTAACTCCGGTCATCTGAAGAAGTGGGCTATGCCCACGAAAGCTCATGATACCATCTACATGTTTTGTTTGTCTATAAAGCGCTACCAGACCATTTGTTGTTTTTTTCCTGAAGAAGTGAGTTTTGTCCATGAATGTTCGTAATATCTCTCTCTCTCTATATATAGTATTATTTCTTGGTCTTTAAGGCAGGGATGGGGAACTTTTTTTTGTTTGCAGGCCACTGACCTACAGAAAAATCAGTCGAGAACTGCACACAAAAACCCCTCACTGACATGGATGCACCCAGAAATCCCTCACTGACTTCCTACATTCCCCTTGCATGCCAGAGCTTGGAGGGACCCAGTCTAGTAGATTCTGTGTGCTCTAGTCCCTTAGTGTAGCAGCCCGGGAGGGCTGGAGCACCAGTACAGGCTCCCCAATGCAGGGAGGGTCCTGAGCCTCAGGGCCTAAATCCAGACAAGCCAAGGGCCGCATCTGTACCTTGGGTGTGAGGTTCCCCATCCCTGCTCGAAGGTGTCACAGGACTACTTGTTTTTAAAGTTACCAACTAAAATAGCTACCCCTCAGACTCTACAATACAGTTACACTATGGAAGAATATACCTAGAATTTGAGTTAAATATTTCTAGAGGGAATGAACAGGTGATTCTTTCCCTGTTGCCCATTCCCAGCTTATGACAAACAGAGATTAGACACCCTCCCTGCCCATCCAGACTAATAGTCATATTTGGACATATCTACCATGAACTGATCTAGTTCTTTTTTTGAACCCTGTTATAGTCTTGGCCTTCACAACATCCTCTGGCAAAGAGTTCCACTGGTTGAATATGAGTAGTGTGAAAAAATACATCCTTTTGTTTAAAACCTGCTGCCTATTAAATTTTCTCTCTGAGATACAACACCACTGTACCAAAGTATACTGTTTCCCATGCTCTTCTTTTGAAGCCACCTGATTTTGGAAGACATTTTAGAAGTACCAGTAAGTTTGCAATGGGTCCTTTAAAGATACTACTGTGAACCATAATTACCATGAGGTCAGCCAAAGAGTTTATATCCAGAGCCAGTTCTTACCTTGCAAGATACATTAACATGGTACAAAAAAATTAACTGATGAGGTCTCTGAATAGCTTTTTTTACATTCTTACCCTAAATGACTACTTACTAGTTTGGTTCTGTAAAGCAGTTTCTTCTTTCTCAATTGTTACCAATAAACCTTCTGTGAGGTCAGCTCTTTTGCCTACAATTGCAAATCCATTCCAAACATACATCATTTCCTGTCAAAAAGAAACAAAAACCACCTCCGCATCAAAATCTACACTTAACCAACGTTAAATTTAATTTGGATGTCAAAATAGTATGTGATCATGTAATTAAAGACTGTATTATAATGGATATGCACAAGGAAGGTGATGCAAGGTTGCACAGATAATGTTAATTCTGGCATTTCCTAAGTTATGAGTGCTTGATGTTACAACCTTAAAAGTGTTATTTTAGCATAATTTGTGTGTAGTTTCTTGGAAGTTTTTAAAGAGCAAATTAACCCCCCAAAATTCCATCATTTGGGATCACTTCAACAACTACGTGAAAGTTTGTTCTTTTTTTCCTGTTAGATAAAAATAATCATTGTTACTTAAACCAAACTGAAAGAAGGCAGCTTTCAATACCAGAGCAGGTAGTATGAGTTTCACCGGCTGAGCAGCTGTATAGCGTCGAGCTTTCCTCACTGCTAACTTTTCGGTTGGGATAGATTTTCCTGCAATTCTTTGTCTTAGACCATCCACTTGTCTGTAAAGGGAAAAATAGATAATAAATAAAGTAATAATAAGAACATGTTTCTTTATTTATAAAATAGAAACACTCCAATACAAAACATGAAATGGTTTCTATGCTTGTGTGGAAAACATGCTGGAGATCAATAAATTCGACAAAAAATTTCAACAATAAAGGGAAGAGGAGAGACAAAAGTCCCTTGCAGAGCTGGAAATTTTTGGTCACCAAAACTGCATACTTGTCATGACTTTTGATGCATTGTAACGTGAACACTCTTTGGGTTCTGTCATCAAAAAGAGTTTTTTGGTGACAAAACTTGTCAGTGTAGACAAGACTTTAGATCTCTGCTTTTTGTTGCATAAAATCTCCGCCTGAGCTATTATTTGATTTATACACAGATTTTCTGGAAACGCATTAAGCTGTAAGGTCCTGCCAACACGACTTAGAGAATGACAAAATCTGCTGCTAACTGCATTGCTGTGAACACGGTTTAAGGGCGGGGGAGGGGCAAATTGTCTTCTAAGTCACTTCATTACCGATGATTAAGATGGAAATTGTTCTCAGTCATATGCTGTGCTCTGGAAGGTATCTGTAACCACTGAGCTTTGAAGCTTTTTACTTGTTTCTTTGTAACTTTCACCTACCTTGCCTTTTAAATTCTACACCTTGTTGTAAGATTGTTGGGCTTTGTGGCAAATGAAATTTAATGTGGGTAAGTGTAAAGTAATGCACATTGGAAAAAATAACCCCAACTATACATACAATATGATGGAGGCTAATTTAGCTACAACTGATCTTGTAGTTATCGTGGATAGTTCTCTGAAAACGTCCACGCAGTGTGCAGCAGCAGTCAAAGAAGCAAATAGGATGCTAGCAATTATTAAAAAAGGGATAGAAAATAAGACGAAGAATATCTTACTGCCCCTATATAAAACTATAATATGCCCACATCTTGAATACTGCATATAGATATGGTCTCCTCACCTCAAAAAGATATTTTGGCATTAGAAAAGGTTCAGAAAAGAGCAACTAAAACGATTAGGGGTTTGGAACAGGTCCCATATGAGGAGAGGCTAAAGAGACTGGGACTTTTCAGTTTAGAAAAGAGGAGACTGAGGGGGGATATGATAGAGGTATATAAAATCATGAGTGGTGTGGAGAGGGTGAATGAAGAAAAGTTATTTTCTTGTTCCCATGCTATAAGAACTAGAGGACACCAAATGATATTAATGGGTAGCAGGTTTAAAACTAATAAAAGAAAGTTCTTCTTTACGCAGCGCACAGTCAACCTGTGGAACTCCTTGCCAGAGGAGGCTGTGAAGGCTAGGACTATAACAGAGTTTAAAAAAGAGCTAGATAAATTCATGAAGGTTAGGTCCATAAAAGGCTAAGGAATGGTGCCCCTGGCCTTCGTCAGTCAGAGGCTGGAGAAGGATGGCAGGAGACAAATTGCTTGATCATTGTCTTCGGTCCACCCAGCACTGGCCACTGTCAGCGGACAGAATACTGGGCTAGATGGACCTTTGGTCTGACCCAGTATGGCCATTCTTACGTTCTTATGTTTGTAACTCTCAACCATTTTGCTTTATAAGTTCAGAAACCTACTGTAAGCTTGGTGATTGTTGAGCCTTGAAACTCTATAATCTTTGTAACTCTCAGAGACTTTGCTTGTAACTTGCTCTAAGCTGCATGCCACCCTAGGATAAGAGTGTGTGTGAATGGAGCGCGTTTGGGGTGAGGGAAACAGAAAGGCTAAACGTGGAGCCAGGAGCCATGTAGTAGTAGGACCCCTGCCTGAGTGACAAGAGCTACCCAGTTCTTATAAAAGGAGAGAGCACATGGCAGAAGCCCTCTTTCTGATCAGCTCCCCAGCCAGGATCCCTGGCTAGAGGCAAACCTCAGGAGCCAATATGTCTTGGGCTGCTCTGCAACCTTTTGCCTGGATAAGTGTGTGAGTGCCTGAGGGCATGAATGAATGTGTGTGAATAGATTAATGAATGTGTGTGTTTGGGTGGGTAAGAGAGATAGCTCACTCCCCTTCAGTTTAACCCTATAATGGCATTCAATGACAGCTCAACACCCTTGAGTTTAACCCTGTAGTGCACAGGTTCTCAAACTTTGTGATACCGCAGCCCCCCTCTAAGTTGCTCACTACCCCTGGAGGGGTCAGGACCCTCAGTTTGAAAAATGCGGCTGTAGTGGATTATTAATTCCTCATTTAATAAATCCATATGAGTAAAACCCTGGGGTGGTCACCAGCGAAATTTGGGGTAACACTTTTGACCAGTGGTTCCCAGCCAACAATCAGGATTAATATGACAAAAGAGTCTCAGCTAGAAAGCAACATCAAAAAAAGTCAGAAACATAAATTAAACAAAATAAAATGTATATACATGAAAATACAAAAATAAGAGAAATAATCACTTCATTTTTCATGTTTATTTGATCTTTGCTTCTTTTTGCTAGATTTTCTAACTCTTGTGTTAAATGTTAGAAGATTAAACTTTTACACCAAACTTGACACCACTTAACCTACAAGATGGCAGCTGTTTGCTAATATCTCACATAAACATCTGTCATTACTATTCACTATAGTTGAGAAAAAAAGTCCTCAAAAAGATGTGCCAGTTAAATTGATTTCCCAGATAAATGCATCCTGATTAAGTCCATCATAATATACTAGCTGAACTCTTCAGCCTTTTGTCACTGGTTCTTTAGGCCTTCCACACTTATGTGGGACTCCAGTATCACATTCAATGCTACAATATATGCCCAGCTATTGTACCCACTTTAATGAAAATATAAAAGTTTACCTGAACAAAGATACAATATCTTCTCCAGTTGTTTTCACATCCTCATCTGGAAGCATACACAGAATTGCAGCTTTCTGGAATACATATATTGCCTAACCAAATAAACAAATCCCACCCCAAACACTATGTTAGTATGTTATTTACAATATTGGATCAGAGTATTGGTTTATCAAGTGTCACATCCTTCTTTCAGCAGTGAGGCAGGTGAACAATTGTAACTTGTCCCTCCCCTCCAGTATCTATTTTTTGTGGTTTATAACCAATTCCATTTTCATCAAATGAATCAACTATTAGCACTAACAAATTAAAATATTTTGAGAGCGCTTTTCCTTCAAAATATGTAGATTAATTTATGTACATTCATAAATTAAAAATAGAAGCCTCACTCTAGAGACAGACCATCCTATTCCATAGTTTGGGGGTGTTTTAATTCAAGGTTTTGTTGGGCTCATCTCTAAACATACCATCATGAACACATATCTTAGCAGGTTTTCTGTCTAAGGAACTTCACTGGAAAGAGCAGTAAGTGGAACCTGCAATGAAACTAGTGGAAATTCATTAAGTCTTTTATTCATTTCCAAAGTATGAAACTTGTAAGTGTCACTCTAGTTTCAACTGGATACAGTTATCTTTTAATTTTTCTTGGCAAAGGTAAGGCAATCATGCCAAGATAGTATCCAGTTTTGACAAAAATGTAAGATACATGTTCAAGTGTTATCCGCATGTTGGCTTCATTTTTCATTTTGAGGCATCTATTTGCAAGGAAAGGGTAAGAGTCTTTTTTTTCCTGGAACTTCCTATTGTAAGCTCATTGAAGCTGACTAGTTCCTTGAATGTTATTATTTAATTAATATTTTAGTAAGTTTTAAAATAAGAGTTTAATCAACAACATTTGTTCTTCTACATTAGATCTCAATTATACTGATCCAGTGAACTTTGTTTTCCCCTCTTTTTGCCCTTCTTTTTTTGGATTCTGGTGAATATTTCAATGTATTAAGATGCTGAAATTCACACTCATTGTTTAGTAGTTTACTTCAAATTTGAGAGCAAAATTCTACCTCAGCCACTGAACCTACAATTTTTGAGGCCGGTATTTTTTGTACCAAGACTGAACTCACTGAGGAGATTGTAACACACCCTTAACTATGGAGTGGCTACTGCCATGTCATAATAATGTCCACCTGCCCATTTACCTTAGACCACCTGCTCTCTTTGCAGAGCAGGTCTGCATACCGATATGCTTGAAGCCAGTTCTGCTGGAATGAGTAGCACCACATGAGTTCCCAATAACAGAGGTGATGAATTTGTTTCCACTCTTGCTGAGCAGCAATACATTCTTGGAATTTTGACTGTGCCTACAGTTCATTTCAGTAAAATAGAATCATGAGAGAGGGAAATGATAACCTTATTAATTACAACACATCAGAACTATGGCTACTTAGCTAAATAATGAGCCAAACCCTCTCCCCAAAACCTTGGGCAAAATAAATAGGCTAGGTGCTAGAGAATTTCACTAAGGAAAGGAAAAATAATCCATCACCCATGAAAAAACTAGTCGTCAATTAAAATCAATGGGATAACTCAGTTGAGCTGGGTAAGCATTGAAATAAATGAATAAAAATTCATTACCTTTTCAAAATTTCCTTTTAGTATATCTATTCTGGCATCATAAAACAAAATGATGGAACCCTTGAGAGTAAAAGAAAAAGCAAATAAATAATCACTACTTTAATTAGAGGAGCATTTATTATTTATTTTTCTAAAATATTTAGTACACACATTTGGAAACTTCTGGAGGTAAGGTTCAAGAAGAGTCTCTGCTTCCTGAAGGTTGGCTTCTCCTATACCTACAATCGTAACAAAACAAGCTCAGTCTCACCAGAATAAAGAAGATTTTTTACAGATTAATCTCCAAATGACATTACAGTTTGACTAAGAGATTAGCGAACAGTCTTCTCTCGTATAAAAGGATAAACTTTATTAGCTCATTATACTGAGTTTCAGTAAAAACAAAATCACTTCATGGAATCATTAATAGCGTTTAGGGTAATAAATGTCCATGACATAAATGGAACAGAATAGAAAACGTTCATAAAATAAGTTTCTTCCTTATGTTTTTTTTAAGCAAAAAGTCCTCATTTAATCTTGAAAGTTAGGAAAAACTTCCTTGATCCCTCACTTCCTAATTTTCATCTCAATAGACAATACTAAGGGGGAAATGAAATCCTTCTAAATTTCCTGACAAACCTAAAAAGGGAAGGAATATTAAAAGATTAAAATTAAATTAATTAAAAACACAAATTAAAAGATGCAAATACATATCAGGAATATAGGCAAACCTAGTAGTGATTAAGCCTGAAGCAATTTTATAGGTGCCTGAACTTTCAAGGATTTCATATAAAAGACATTCCTGACTTTCCAGATAGAGCACTATCTCAAATTCCCTGTCTATATCCTCATTAGGCCAGGGCCGACCCACAACATTTCAGCACCTGAGGCGGGGAGCTCAAATGATGCCCCCAAGTCCCCTCACTACACTAGCAGCAGGCACAATTTTCTACACTCTGGGTCCTAGTGGCGCCCCTTCACAGTCTGGCACCTGAGGCGGCCGCCTCAGTTCACCTCATAATAAGAACAGCCCTGCATCAGGCTCTGCATTTTGGTCCATCATCAGGCTCATATGCTCCAGAAATCTTTTTGAAATATGTGTGTTTGTAAGGTATGAGCTCAAAGATCTACTGCATGCGGGGAACAAGGAGCATATAAAAAATTAAAGGTAATAATCTTTGAGTTTCTTTCTCTCCATCACACCCACACCCACTCTAAGAGGTAAGCAGATAACTAAATGTTTAATTTAGGAGTATACATTTGTTTCCCTAGTTATTTTTCAATATTTTTTAGCATTTGAGTACATAATGTCCTAATATAAATTTAATAATGTCTATCTTCCAGTTTTTTTCTAAATAGTAATGCTTGGTACAGTGCATAGTTTTTCTAAACAACTGAAATTTACAAAAGCATGAAATATTTCACATTTCATATTATATTTACAATGTCAAATAATCCAGAAACCATATTCCAGTTCTTACCAAGGATTAAAGAGACATAAGTATGATATACCAACAGGGTAAAAGTACACAGTATGGCTCTCAAACTGGTACCAGAAGCACCTTCCCGCAGCTGATGGAGGCCCAAGTTCTAAAGGAATCACAAATATGTAGAGATTTAACTATCAAATAGATTAAAGTGGCAAAGTAATACAAATTATATCTTTTAAGCAGTAAACTTTAACAGAAATGTCTTCATTTTTCCTTTTAGGCATACTGATTTTTTAATTTATTATCTGGCCCAAATCATGAATGACCCACTATTCCAAAGCAGACCCTGGGAGGGGCAATGGATTAATCAATGAGTCTAGTCAACTTGATTAACCCTCTGATACTTGTCAATGAGTCTAGTCACCTTCCTAAAGTTAAGTTGGAAGAATATGAACAAAGCACTTTTCCCACTTAGCCCTATCCACTGGCTGGAGACGACCACAAATATTCTCTTTCACACCAGGAAACCTCATACAAAAGAAATACTACCCCCTCTCACTTCTATCCCTAAGCAAAAACCTTCCTCTCATGATCACCTTTCTCACTGACACACTCAGGCAGGGATTCCTTGTTTCCACTCTCTTGCAGCAGCTCCTCCACAGACTCCTGAAATACCCAACTCTCTTCTCTCATCAGCTAATATTTTGGGAGGCCCTCACTGAACTGCTACCCCTTTAGATTTCGTCCCACATTTTCTGTGAATGCTAAAGAGAAGTATTATAATCTATGGGGAGCCTGGCAGGGAGCTCATTTATATGGGGTTTCTGCCATACCCACTGTTCCCATAGTTTCTGACTGGGAAGCATCTCAACCGCTGTTCCTTGCCCATACTCTTTAGGAGCAGTCAGGCTAGCTTACAGTTTCTCCATACAGGTATAAAGGTTCTCTGGATATGAAATGTAGCACCATCTGCTTACATTTGACTTTAACGAGCTTACAGTTTCTCCATACAGGTATAAAGGTTCTCCAGATATGAAATGTAGCACCATCTGCATACATTTGACTTTAACAATTTTGCTTTTTGATCAGGTGTTTAAAAGGGGTTCTAATGTTTAGATGCTTGCTACAGTGCATACATTTGTCCTGCAGATTGATGTTATGATGGTAATATTTAAAAAGGGTTCAGCTTGGATTCCTTCGAGATTATTAATTATTATTATTAATTAATTATTCTGAAAAGACCTAAGGTGTACTTGGTTTTTTACAACACTAGGTAAAAAGACAACTTATTTAATCATGAACAACTTACAGTCTCATTTTACATATGACAAGCAATAGCTGTAGGAAAGATAATAGTAAAATGATGTTGCACTGATTCAGTTGTGGCCCATGCACATCTTGAAGATTAGCTAGCTATTAATTTTTATATTTTTAACTCATATTTTGTAGGTAGCAAGGCAAAAGGGAGTTTTAAAGAGCTACTCAAACTTATGGCCTGCAGGTCATCTATGGCCAGAGTATATTCACTATCCAGCCTGGGAATCCTGAGGGGGTCGATGCGCGAGGGGTGAGGAGAGGGGAGAGGGAGGGAGGAGAGGTGTTCGCAACCACCCCCCAAACCCTGCCTCTTCCTACCACCACCCTGCATTGCACACCTTCCCCCAAGGGATGCAGTATTAGAGATTACCGGGAGGTGAGGGAGACCTACTGCAGAGCAGCACTATCAGTTAGGACCCCATGCACCCTTCCGGGACTGGGAGCCACAGGGAAGTGGAGCATGTGGGGCAATGGGGGGAGGGGAGATAGCGGGCAGGACCATGGTGGGAAAAGACAGGTCTTGGACGGTAAGACAACTGCTTCTCCCAGGCCACAAGGAATCCCATGCTGGATTGTGAATATGTTCTGGCCATAGATGGCCCCAGGGCCATGAGTTTGAGACCCTTGGAGTCTATCCCACATAGGGGGAAAGAAGGTGTAGGAACCCTCCTTTATCTCTGCACAGGCCTCATACTCTTGGGATGGGACACAAATGAGTAAGATCTTGCCGTGCACTCCTCCCAGAGCAGGAGGGGAGGGAAATAGGTAAAGCTTGAGCTACAGTTCTAATGGCTCATGTGGAGGATGTAGTAATTTACCCTTCTCCTTAAGGGCAACAGGGAAGTAGGAAGGAAACTGGGCCTCATAGACTGTGTCTCCCAGAGCTAGTCCTTGAGTGGTGAAATTTATGCACCATCATTTGCTCAGTGTGTACCTAAACAAACAGTTTTTACCTATCATTAATATTTTAGATGGGCATTTAAAACACCAAATACAAAAAACTGGACATAAGTGTAGTGTACCTTTCATTTTACACATTTAAAATTAAAGCCCTCCACACTCCACCACAGAAAGCACCGACATTTTAAAAAACAAATTTAATACCCTATTTCCAGAAAACCCAATAAATTCTAGGAGTCGGAGAATCCTTCCTGGTAAAAGCGACAGCATCTGCAATATCAAATAAGCAAAAAAATTGACAGTTTAATCAGATATGGAAACCTTGTGTACAATATTCAAAAGAAAATAGTCTCTAAAAACTGCTATAAATCTGCAGCCAATGTAAGTTGCAACAAATGCCATTTCAGTTAGCATTAAAAAAGTGAAAAATATCAAAATACAAATCTAAATACACTTTTTAAAAAAATCTTGAAATATACATGCATGGTCAGGTATTGTACAACTACTTTGTATGTGTGACACCGTTTCAGCTCCCACTTGGTCTTGCATCCTGGAAGCCACAAGACCCTACCATGAATCCTCTCTCAAGATAATGAGTCCTTATTTCAGGCTGACTAGCAGTGTCAATAAACTGTGGATTATTTTGAATAAGGGGGCAATATAGGTAGGCACTGTAGTCAATATTAAAATATTACTATTGTTTCTATTATCACCAGCTTCTAACTTTTTTTTCCCCATTCCTTCTTTAAAAAAACATTTTTAGCATTTCCAATCAGAACTCAAGCCCAGGGAAACCCCATGGTGCCGGGGGCGGAGAGGGCCCCACCCACACAGCCCTACTGGGCATGCTCCAAGGGGAGCACAGGTACAAAAGGCTGCTGGCCTGCTCAAAAGGGGCAGACTGTGGCCCGAGCTGGAGCTAGCGCCCACCGGCCAGAGAGGGAGTTGCCAAGAGTGCTGAACATGCCGCTGCCGGGCCTCCGTCGGGCTCGGCCCCAACGCCGGAGCCGCTGACCGACCCCCCGTGACCCGAGCACCAGACCAGACACTGCCAACGCCGACGTTGCCGGGGGAAGTACCAGTCCAGCCATCTGACCAACGCCAACAGGTGGGACTGCAATGGGCCGGGGGTAGGAAGTGACCTAGGGCAGGGAGCTGAAAAAGCCCCTGAGGGCTCGGGGCGTTGCCGGGAGGAGCCCCCGCCAAGCCAGTGGTGGTAACCACCCGCCACTACTAGGGCCCTGGGTTGGGACCCGGTGGAGAGGGAGGGCCCGGGCCCCCCTACCTCTGCTGCTCGAGACCCTGGCGAGTGGGGGCTGGGATAAAGAACTTTGGACTAGGCCTCTGGGCCTGTGAACTGTGGACTAGGCCGGGAGGCCGTATTTCCCCTAAAAGGGGGCACCATGCTTCGGGCCAAGGCCCAAGCTGGTTGGATGATGCCCCGGAGGAGGGTGGCTACCCCCGTCAAGGGGGGGGCCCCCCGACACAGATGATTTTGCACTGTTACCTTGGAAAGTTCTCTATGTGCCTATTTTGGAAGGATGGAACTAGATGTCCAAAAAAGAATACCACAGATAAGACTAGACAACATAGCCCAGGCATGTCCAAAGTCCGGCCCGCGGGCCAATTGCGGCCCGTGTTCTGGTTTAATACGGCCCCACAGGTAATTTGGCAATATCTATCTTTTATGGCCCCCAACGAATCCATATGTATTGAGATGAATAAATTGTAAAATCTCAGTTAATGTCAGTTGGTCTAAATCAGTTATAAATATATTTGGACACAACATGTGTACTTGGTGTTATGTTCCTGTTCATATTTTTTGAACTTAAAAGTTGACAGACAACCTTTATTACCAATAATATGTAATGTACTTTACAATGTTCCTGACATATATTTCAGCTTCCTGGATTTTTTTTTCATCTGGCCTTCAGATATGAAAGGCAGAGTGATTTAACACCTGTTTAGATTTGTCATCCATGTGACGAAATGAAAAGTATGCCGTTTGCAATAAACTTTGCATAAAATAGTTAATTTGCATTTAATTTTAATGGTTCAAAGAATGTCAGGCAAAATGGTTGGCCCTCACGCATGTTCACTTCATCAAATCTGGCCCTCTTTGAAAAAAGTTTGGACACCCCTGACATAGCCCATCAGTGGCAGCCTGGTTATACTGTTTTTACTATGTTCTTGTACATACATACATAAATACCCACTCACTTCCCTTTTCATCGATCTTCTCTCCACATGAAACATAATGGAAAGCTTTTTAGGTTAGCAAATAACTTTTTAGTCAATGTATCAAAAGAATGTCTAGTTGAAAGCTAGTGTTTGAGAGAATCAGTACAGCTAATAATTGGTCTGTTTTTCTAGATTAGAAAAGGAATTTTTTTCTTCAAATTTCCTATAGGTGAACCTCTATTGATGGTAGCAGTAAAGAATGCCAGTATAACCAGGCTGCCACTGATGGGCTCTGTTGTCTAGTCTTATGTTAAATAAAATTAGATGACCTAATAAGCAGGGGAGATGACAGAACTGCTGAGATCCTGGGCAAGGGGGGAGGCTCCATACTCCCAGAAAGGAAGGGGCCTTGGGCTGAAAAGGTGGGGCCGAGGCAGCCAGCTGTCAGCACCACCTGGACTGTACCACACCTCCCACCCCCAGCCAGTTCTTCAGCACCGCCCAAAGCTCACTGCCAGGGCTCTGGCAGCAGTTTAAAGGGAAAGTGCCCTTTTGAATCACCAGGCCCCAGGGCAGTTGCCCTTTGACCCCTACTGTTGGTGGGCCTGCATAGTGGTTAACTTGCGAGCATCTAGTACTCCCACTTTTATTAACATGGGTGATAATATAATGGTGTAACATTTGAAATAAATTGCTAGATTTACAGATTCTAAGGCCAGAACAGATCATTGCAATAATTCCCTAATAGGTCACTGCTGCAAAAGGAGGGCATGAAAAGATAACATACAACAATAAAATTACTCAAATACAGATATCCATAGTAGCTTATCTAGTGGTGGCTGAAGTATATGGTTTTACATATTGTTAGAAATAGTGTTTTTTTTCTTTAACAGTAGCTTCAGCACGCAATGCAGACAGAGGTTTTTATGTTCAATATGTTTTGTTTTGGTTTGTTTGTTTGACAAAAAAGAGATTAGGAAGTTGTAAAAAATTGCAGGCATGCAAGGAGTTGTCACCTACTACTGCCATTTTGAATAAAGGTTACACGAGATCTGAAAAATCTACCACTTTGCACTATAAGACCATCTTATTTCTAAAATGATGGCACTTTGGACAAAACTTTCATTTATGCAAAGTCACCTAATATAGAATATTATGTCCTTATAAACTCAAGTAAATTAGATACTAGCTAATTATCTTTTTACAGTTAGAAAAACTAAAAACATACCAAATTGAATGCTCCTATTCCAAGTTTTACTCCTCCTTCAAATTGATGGTGGGTTTCATTTTTATTTTTATTGCCCTGAGTCATCTGTAGCACCTGATGACATTCTCTTTTAATTCAGAGAGGGAAAAAAAAGTTAGAGGTTGTAACAACAACAAAAATAGAGTAATGTGATTTTTTTTAAGACTGTGGAATTAATGAAATTACACCTATTTACTCCAGGGCTAAATCTAACCACATATATTGTAATAACTTACTTGTATATTTGGTAACTTGTCCTAATTTTGAGGCCACCTTTGATAAAGTTGATCATATTTTCATCCTGGAAAAAACAAATGTCCTTTATGAAGCTTATCATAACATTTTTCTAAACTGTTTCCTTTAAACTAATGTTTTCTTTTGACAATGATTGTAATAAAAAAGTACAATTTCAGAAACAGAAAAAATATTTCTACAGTAATTAACTTTAGTCTTCTAAATGAGCATATGGTGCATACAGATTTGTCTGAGCATACAGATACATTCTTTTGTGTGTTTTGAATTACATTTAATTAAAAAGAAGTTAAAAAGAGAAGTGAAAGTCAACAAAATTTGGGGCTAAGAGAAAGCACTTCTGCAAAATAATGACTGAAATAAGATATTCTCCACCAGATGGTGCTATAGGAACTTTTTAGAGAGTATTGCTAAACAGTGTTCTGAACTACATATGCATGAGTAAAGAACAGTACAAAGAATATCCCACAGTGTCCCCTAACCAGATCAGTTCCACGTGCTAATCCGTAGCAATTCCAACAGGTTTTGGGTTGCTGTAGGACAGCAAAGAGCACATATTTCCCAATATATTATATCATAATATCTACAGAAAAGTAGTTATGCGTGCTCTTTATTTTGAATTTTCCCACAGAAAAATTTCATTCTACAATCATCCACATTGATTTAGTTTTTTGAAGATTCTCTTTTCAGTTAAATCCACTGATGGGTTGTTCAGTGTTTTGCTTTTGTTTGATTTTTTTCTCAAACAAAATACTAATTAATTAATACTTATTTTAAGACCTGGAGCTTACAAACATTTAGGCACATGCTTAACTTTATACATACGAGTAATATCTTCAGAGTTCAAAGACATGGGGAGAATAGGCTAAAGGAGAACATAAGAGCAGCCATATTGGGTCAGATCAAAGATCCATCTACCCTAGTATCCTGTTTTCCAACAGTTGCCAATGCCAGGTGCCCCAGAGGGAATGAACCGAACACATAATCAACAAGTGATCCCTCCTCAGTCATTCCAAGCCTCTGACAAATAGAGGCTAGGGGCACTATCCCTACCCATCCTGGCTAATAGCCATTGATAGACCTATCCTCCATGAATTTACCAAGTTCTTTTTTGAACACTGTTAAAGTTCTGGTTTTCACAATGTCCTCTGGCAAGGAATTCCACAGGCTGACTATGCATTGTGTGAAGAAATACTTCCTTTTGTTTGTTTTTAAACCTGCTACCCATAAATTTCATTGGGTGACCCTTAGTTCTTATGTTAGGGGAACAAGTAAATAACTTACTTTCTTCTCCACACCAGTCATGATTTTATAGACTTCTAGCATATCCCCCTTCGTCTTTTTCTCTATCCCTTTTTTTAATGATTCCTGACATTTGTTTGATTTTTTTTTTGAGTGAAAAAGGTGAAAGTTTTAAACTGTACCCTCTCCTTAAAGGGTGTAGCCCTTTCTGCCCACTCAACTCAACTTAGCTTATTTTCTAATGCAAAAATAAGATTGCCAGTTTTTCAATAGTACAAACTAAGCTATATTTAAAAAACTAAGTAATGTTGGCTTCCGGGTGAAAAAATTGCTTCTGAAATAGCTGCTGAGCTTTAAAAGAAGAGCTGGGGTCAAAAGAGACCAGACAGCATTACAAAGAAAGTTATGCACCTCTCTACTCACAAATATATTCAAAATATTAACCACCTCTGCCCTATTATTTTTTCATCTATTTACTAGGAATTGCTTTCCACTATGCAGCCACCGGGGGGGGGAGAGAGAGAAGTTTGCACAAATTCACCTGAAAGTAGTTTTTACAAAAGGCTAGTAAAATGTATGAGCCATTTTCCAAATTGTAATAAACCACTTCAGGGTGGGTATTAGTAGGCCACTGATGCAAATCACAGTAGGTGAAGACCAAAGGCTTCAGGGTATAATGCCTCACAATAAACCCAACATGAGCACAAACACTTCTGATTGTAATGCATTCATATAAGGTAGCTAGCACTGTTTTTAACAGTATGTGGACAGTGATTTGAACCACAAAACAAAAAGGAAATGCTGCTATGTGATCAGTATCAGCTGAAATACTGTTAGTCAGAAAGGAAGTTTCTATCTGCTTAATCCATTTACAGCAAGGCACTGTTGGACAGGTGAATCACAGGAATCTTCTAGCCTCCTGATACTCATGAAGTAGCGACCAGTTTCTGCAGCACACTACAATGCATCAGTGTCATGAACTGGTAAAACACCATATCTTAGACAACAGTACAAAGGAATTAGGAGGGAGCAGATGCATAGATATAATTTGAATAATATATCTAAATAGAAAAAAAATATGGGATAGTTGAATAATATATCTAAATAGAAAAAAATATATGATAGCATATGTAGCATTTTCAGATATTTCCTATTTAAACATTTATATAATCCCTTCCCCCCCTTTTTTTTAAAACCATTACATTTTTGTGAGTAGAGTGCTCTAATTGAATGATTACTCACATCTTTTTGCTACCATGCACGTTCACAGAGAGTTCTGAAGTTAAAGACAGACATTACCTGTACAAATGTGAGCGCTGCTTTCTGTAGCAAACATTCAGCATAACAGATTTCTGCATGCATTTCCTCTATTAAAAAAGAAAGGAGAAAAGGAACAAAGGAAGCCTGAAATTATTTGTTGGAGACACATTGTTTGTTCACATTCAGTTGCATAACTTGTCAATCAATGAAATTAAAACAATTTTGATAACAAAATACAGGTTGAACTTCCCTGGTCCTGCACTCTTAGGACCTGACTGGGCCCAAACCAGGGAATTTGCCAAGACCGTAGAGGTCAATGCTGGCCCCTCTGTTGCAGCCGGCTGATATCAACAGAACAAGGATGAAAGGGTTCTTGGTGGAAGAAGCAGGGGTTGTGTACAGCCCCGCAGCCAGCAGTGGGGGGCTAGGAGCGCAGCCCCTCAGCCTCTGGGCTGCACTCCTGACTCTCTCTGCCAGCCACAGGTTCCACTGCTGGCCACTGAGCTCCACAGCTGCTCTGTCTCTCTTTTCCACAGAACCTGACTTCAGTCCCCACTCTTGTCTCCCTCCTGAGCTTGAATGCCACAAATAAACTATTTGCAGTGCTCTAGAAGCTATGGGACAGTGGGGAAGGAGATACTGAATACAGAGCCCCCAACTTTTCTCCATGAGTGCTCTAGCTCCAGAACACCTATGGATGCCAGACTAATGCTGTTGCTAGATGAGGAAAATCTTGTTTATAAAGATGCAACCAATCTGTAACTAGTTTTTTGTTGTTGTTAACTTTCAAAATCTTATTAAGACAACTAGATGAAAAGTTTGCTACAAATTAGGCTTCTATGTCACCCAACCTAGATCCGTTCCCATCAGGCTTCAGAATTGAAACAACACTTATTCCTCTGATATAGCATGATACCATATAGTATAGTAAGGTAAGTATGCCTATTGTTATCTTACAGCATTCAATACTGTTCATCAAACAGTCCCGTACTCCCTACAAGAGACTGCAGTGATGAACAGAAATGCCTTGAAATAGAGCAGATCTTTCCTCCCTGACTAATCCAAATACTCAATATGGGCAAGGCCCTTGTAGTGAAACTTCCACTCTGCCAGGGAAAGGGTTAAGCCAAGGGAAGCTGGAAGGAGACTATGCAGAGCCCTGGCCAATCAGAGAGGGGCTTAGATAGAGCCAATGAGAGAGCAGCTTGCTGGGGCAGCCCTGTAGATAAGGAACTGCACAGCAGAGCAAAACGCAATTGGGTCCTGACCAGGGAGGGTTCCCAGGGAACCAACTTAGAGAAAGCAGTACTGGGCAAGCTCAGGGGCGCTAGAAAGGAGTGAGGCTCCAGCCTGATACCTGCCAGGTTGCAGGCCTTGATCAAGGTGGTGCAGGGGTCACAAGGAAAGTGGCCCAAGGAACAGGTAGCAGTAGAGGGGGAGAGAAGGAAGGCAGAAGAAGGCTGCCACCAGAGGCTTCTGGGACCAAGAGTAGTGGGCAGTCCTGGTTCCTCCTTCCCCCACTTGCACCACATCTAGACACACCAAGGACTGGCCATTATGGACTGTGGCTTGCCCCTGAGATGAGGGGCTAGAATGAAGCTGCAGCTGGTCACAGTGGCAGGCACAAGGCTGCAGACCGCTGATACCCCTGAAAGGAAGTTGAGAGACTAGTGTGGTGCACACGGCTGGAGGGCAGTGTCCTGAAGAGAACGCTGTGATCCGAGGAGTGATGCAAGTCCAGAACAGAACGGGAAGACAGCATGGAGCGAGGACAGGTAAGACACTGGTCTGAAAGAGGTGCCCTGTGGCAGACAGAGCTAATTCCCAGTGTGACCAGCAGGAGGTGCTGCGGTAGTGAGTCACTACCCCATTACAGCCTTGCATATGCTGGAGCTGCAAGGATCTATCACCCCGTCCTACTAAATTCAGTACCTATGTCAATAAGCTGGGAGAACTAGTGAGCAATGCCGGCAGTACAGAGAGGACACACTGATCTCTATATCCCTTAAATATCAACACCATCGGTTCCCAGCTTTCACAGTGCCTAAATGAGATCAGCACTTAGGGGGAAGGGCGTCTGACAGCAGCTGAATACAAGCAAGATTAAAGTGGAGATGGTAGAACGAGGAATCTTCTCCATAATAAAAACCCTTCCATTGAAAGATATCTGTCCTCAGATTATGATGTCACTTCATAACATTGGGAGCCTTTTTGCTGCATTTACTTGGACACTCCAAAAGCAATAGTACCAACAACAAAAAGGAAACCCACTTCTATTTGTGGCTGCCCAGAACATTATACCTTATTCAACAAGATGCAGAGCTAACCACCTTTATGCATGAATTTGTAACGAATAGGCTAGACTACTTAAATTCTCTATGTCTAGGGAATGAAGCTAAATGCCCTGAAAAAGCACCAGATAGTACAAAATGAAATAGCTTGCCTGTTCACCAACACAGATTGTTGGGAACATATCAGCCCCTTGTCCCATTTGCTGCACTGATTTCTCACTGAATATACAGTTCAGTTCAAAATCACTGTCCTAATTTCAAAGCCTCACACAGAACTGTCCATCATCCTCCCCACACCCCAACTCACACACACACACACACATTTTATGTGACCGAACATGACCTAATTTTGACAGCAACTTGAACAATGAAGTTGTTGATAAACAGGGAAACTAATGACTGCAAGAGACAGAATTTTCCTGGGAATGCTGCTAGACAATATTGACCTTCCATGGTTCAACAAATTGTCTGGTGCAGCACCAGTCAGGTCCTCAGGGTGCTGGATTAGAGAGGATCAACCTGTACTCAATTTACTTTATAAATGAAAAATAATCCAATTTTGTCCCAATATTTTATTATACAGCAATAATTATGTAATCAAAAACTACAAAAAAACTTCCTAAGTAAAATATCAATATTTCTTAAATCAGTACTGTTCTTTTAAAATAGCATTCCTTGTAAATCCTGTACATTTATGATCAAATGTAAAATTTCTCTTTTTAAAGTATCGCTTTTAATTTGTTCAGGGAAATAAACAGGCAGCTTACATTTTGAACAAAGGTAATGTTTACTAAATGGTGTTACTGAATCTTTAAATTTTTATAGAGCAATCCTAAAACTGAAATACCCACCTGGAGAAGTGAAAAAACAGATTGACAGAGCCAAAAAAGTACCCAGACATGAACTACTTCAAGACAGACCCAAAAGAGAAAATAACAGAATTCCACTTGTTATTCCATTCTACAGTCCACAACTCAAACCCCTCCAAGGCATTTTACACAATCTGCAACCCATCTTGGAAAATGATCCCTCACTCTCAGAAGCCTTGGGGGAAAAGCCTGTTCTCACTTACAGACAACCCTGAACCAGAAACAAATTCTTTTCGGTCACCATGCTACACAACCACATCATAAGCATCCAGGATCCCAGCTTTGAAATGCAACCACATCATAAGCATCCAGGAGCCCAGCTTTGAAATTAGCTGCAGTGCCAACTCTGCCCACATACCTATACAAGCAAATTCATCACTGGAGCCAACAACATAAACTACCAGATCAAAGGCTCATTTAACTGCATGTCCAGTAATTTATTTGATCTATGCCATCAAACACCAGCAATGCCCCACTGCTGTATATATTGGATAAACTGGACATTCCCTACAGGAAAGAATAAATGGACACAAATCAGCAGGGCTTGCCAAGTGGCGGCGAAATGAGTAATCCTGTGGCACCTCATAGTTTCAAAAGCTTTCGTGGCCAAAACTCACCCTCAAGCTCATCTGAAGAAGTGGGTTTTGCCCACGAAAGCTCATGATACTGTGTATATTTTTAAAAAACAACAAATGGTCGGGTAGCACTTTATAGACTAACAAAACATGTAGATGGTATCATGAGCTTTCATGGGCACAGCCCACTTCTTCAGATGACCCGAGTTTTGAGTTTAGGATATGCAGACCCAATAGGGGAGAAAGGAAAGGGGGGGAAGGGAGAAAAGAGGGGTGCGGGAAACAAGGAGCAGAGGGTATGAAAATATCAAAGGGAAAAACAAATAGGCAGAACTGGCAATCTAGAAGCATCTGAAGATTGGATTGTTAAAAGGAAGCAGATAAGGATCATAGGATATCAATAGATAGGAAGGATACTAACACAAGAATCTACACAAAATGCTGTTGGCACTTTCACTGAATGTTAGGTTGGTCTCCCGGAAGATGTGTGAGGTAGAAATCTGCAGTGAGGAAGATTAGCATGTACTCTCTGTCTCTATAGCTTGGTATGATACCATCTACATGTTTTGTTAGTCTATAAAGTGCTACCAAACCATTTGTTGTTTTTTAAGTTTATCCTGTACAGACTAACTCGACTACTCCCTGAAGCTTTGGAAAGCATAACTCAAGATTGGCTCTACTTCAAGGAACCCGATATTTTAAAATGTAAACAAAAATTACAATGAGGAAAATTAAATAATGTATTTAATCTACACATTATTATGTAGATTAAGTGACAGTTTGGCTTTTGGTGATATTCAAACACACACCAGGCATGAAACTCAATGTGGACTTTTCAATGATTTAAGGACACTTAGGGGTGTAAGTTTCCCTTAATAGCAAAAATTAAGACTTCAGATGTGTGAAAGTAGAAAGAATTATACTGTAAGAGAAAGATGAATTGTACTGTAATAATTGAATAAGTTGAAGGAATTCTGTTTGTCTTTTAAGAGGAAGAAGAAAAGTATGTTAATGTTGATTGTAGGTATGCAGATCAAGGTGCTAGCCAATTTGGGCCTGAGTTTAACAGGAAGAGAAACATTAGGTGTTAGACAGAAAGCAATTCTAGATAATCAGGGAGATATAGCCAGGAGATTGCTGTGTGCTTGATATTGAAATGAAGATACTTAACCACACTAATAATGTGAAGTTTTGCCACACCCTTTGATCTTGTTAACTTGGCCTTTTGACTGTATAAAATCAAGGGGTTTGAACCTTGTATGGTACTCACATTTTCTGAATGCATTTTAGCAGAGCTTTGCTGAAATAAACAGAAGCGGTCTAACAAATCTGAGAGTCCTGTCTGACTTTGACAGATGTAAATCTCAAAACTACTGAAAGTTCAGGAATATTTCATTTAACTCACTTCCTGTGATATTAAATTCTATGTATTAAAAATGCTAAGAAATGTAAACCATTTACCAGAAGAATGAGCTGTATAAAATAATGAGTTGCATGTCCTTTACTTTGATTAAATAACTGTAGCAACTAGCAAAAAGACAGAATTCAAATGTCCATAAAAAGCATCCAGAAATAACTGATCCCATCCTGTGTTGAGGGTGCCTGTGCTATTACATTATATAGTTTTTGTAGTAAAGGGCTGCTGCTTTTAGTCAAGGAGAATGCTTAAATGAAACGTGTGCAACCTGAGATAAAGCCCTCACCCAGTGGGGAGTGCAATTAAAGAGAATTATCATAGTACATGCAGTTAAGTATTTCCAGAGCATCACATGATTTACTAAAGTACCATATTCCAAAGGCAATACTTCTGGGAATGCTAAAAAACAACAGGAACGCAGTATTACAATTGCTGCAAATACACACACATTAAAAACTTAAACTGATAACCCTTGAAGATTACAGGCAGTCCCCGAATTACGTGGATCCGACTTACGTCGAATCCCTACATACAAACGGGTCTTTTCTCGACGCGGGGGCGGGACCGCCCAGATGCACCGC